TGAAAAACTTGACAAAGCCTGGAATATAGATAATATAAGAATAATTTTCTGGGTAAATACACTATTTATTATATGCTTTTACAGAAACTGCTAGTGATACTGCCCACGGTATATTAAATTACCAACCTGATTTCGTATATCCATCACTGACTGAATCATGTGTCGGGTCTAGTTATAAAAAACTATAAAGCTTATTAGGTCACGAAGGCCAAACCTGCCTCAATAGTTTGGGCGTAGTGCGGCACCGATGATTTATTATTTGATTATAAGCTCATGCGTCCCTAGAAAATCAACGGGGTGCTTGTGAGACATGGGTGCGCTCAAATCTGCAGTCCCACTTTGAGATAAGTTCATTGTCGTGGGATATAATTCACAATGAAAATTAAAAGTAATATTACATTTATTTTTCGTCTATAATAAGGTTTTCGAGATTACCTGCAGATTATACATCTCAGACATTCTATTTATCGTGGATTTATAGTGGGGAGCTTAACTAACCGTATATATCAGAGTGTTTGAGAAACGATACACATGACTCCTGAAACAAATAAGCACTACATTATTTGCTTGGGGATCAAAATTGTTTAGACTGAACCCTGTGCGAAGTTTTAAAATCATTGAGCGAATTCATTGGTTGATGTCATAACTTGGTGGATCGGCAATTGTATATGTTTTATTAATGGCTGGCCAGAAAGATTGGATGCTACCCAGGGAAATATATAGTTTTGCTTTTTGACTAAATTTCTTATCAGACAGACAAAGTTCAGAGGAGAGAAAAGTGCTAAAAGCATAGATGTGGATGAAGCTGATATTTTTTCGAGTGGTTAGCGTGTCAAGCTCACATGCCGCACTGTCACGGTTCGATTCCGGCTGGGGGTGTTGACAAGACCGATGAGAGGCCGAAATTGCAGTCCACTGGTGCCTGGATGAGAACAACTGTTGGGAAAGCAAGGCTGTGTGAAATTAAATGGAAACGTCAGCTCTACTCATATCATTGTGGGAAAATTCTTCTTCTACCAGTCCTTCATGACCTTAAACGAAATTTGGTGAATACATCTCATATTACTGATTTACTGGTAGTCTCGAAACTCTACTTATACACGAAAATTTGGTCATGCTTAACCATGGTAATAACTTGTGTTCAGCTCCTCCCCCTAAATTCAAACAATTTCATCCCACTCATTCATCATTAGGTCGACGAGCTCATCCTACCCTTCCGACGCCACGAAGGCTATGAGTCACTGAAAACGGAGGCAAGCCTTGAAACGCGCAAAATGGCCGACCAAATGCCTTGCTATCGAGACGCATGCAACGATCGTCGTATAAAGGCTGTGGAATATAGGGCAAACTGCTCCATCCGGCTAGCCCGACTGACCCCAGATAAATGGTACCGGGGTCTACCGCGACGCCGCTTGACAATAGCTGCTCACACTTACGAACATATTAGCATGGCACTCAACTGTCTAGAAGAGCTCTTGCCCTTGGTGAGTTAGAAGTACAATATAAAAGGAAGTTTTCTCATTTCTTAAAATATTTGCATATGTTTTTACTTGTAGACAGAATGTAGGATAAAAAAGGTATCAGGAATTTAGCCTCATAATGAAAATTAGCGTCAACGTTTCAAATCATAAGTATGGCTAAGTCAAATTTTCAATCTATCTGCTTCTTTTCAGATGGTTCATTTCAAAAATAAAGGTCTCGTGTATGGCTTTGTGATTATTTTAATTTTTCGCTTGGTCATGGTTAAGCAGAGCCTCTCATAAGCATAGTATTTCGAGATAAGATAGTCAGTATATTTATTTAAAAAACACTTATATGCTTATCTATCTCCCAATTTTACTCCCCGTATTACCGTCAACTTAACGTTTCCATTCGAAATGCATCATTTCTATAAGTGATTAACTACTTTCTAGCCTTTAATACACACGATACCTTATGAAGAAGGTCATTTTTTATTTCAATTTGTACATATAATAGCATTTAAGTTGCAATGCAGTCTTTCTTCTAATCTCTGAAGCCGTTCAACCGCGTATTACTTTACCTAATGTTTTTTATCTGAATTTTATATAAGAACACAATACCACTGGAGTCGTTAAAGACTAGAGGAATGTGAGAAGGTCAATATAGTTAGATATAAGCTTAGGCTTTTAACATATGGTTTTAAAATTTTAAAACTAATATGATCGTAGTAATAAGCTAAAGCATATTTTTTGACAGACCTAGGGAGGGTCTGATTATAAAACAATTTTGAATTACAATAAGACTGGCCCTCTTGAATAGGATCAAAGATTGGATATAAATAATAAATAAGGCAAAATACAGATCACCTCTATTTGATCACTTAAAATGAAACTGGATTATCTGTGTATTTGCAGTATATATAGCTGCTGTAAGGATTGTAAGTCTTTTAGGCCAAACTGGATTTTAAGTTGAAAGGTCTACAAAAAAGTTAATAATTCTTTTGTATTTTTCTTCAGATCATTATTTAGCGTTCATATACCTAGTGGCAGATCAAGGGAAATCTCGGTCCAGAACTATTTGACATTTTAAGACGAATTGCCAGCCTCGTTAATTTGTCTTGCCAGTCTAAGCACCACACAAGTCGTCAAAGAGACAAGTGGAGTCAATTATTTGACCAATTGTCTGCTAAACAGTTGTGGTATCTCCCCTTCTGTCCCGATGCATTCAATTATTTCATCTCCTTGAAGCAATCACCTAAAATACTAAATCAAGAAAGGTTGCTTGGGGAATTCTAGCTATTTCTTTTACCTCACCTTGCGTTCTTAATGAGACATCTTATGATTTGGTTAACTGTTTTGTCCTTTTCTTACACGTTTGCATGCGAGTTAAAGTGAGTCAAGAAGGGGAGCGGATGTGGCCACAACTTTTGTCTATATAAATAAACTAGCATATGATCATGTAATCCTGAGGCATGTCTTAGATCCATGAATTCGTGTGCGTTGTGTGTATGCAATACTCACGAATTAATTGCCAATTTTGAACCCCAAACTATACCTCAGATTAGTCAAGTCTTCTCCTCTTAGTCGCAAGGTCTTACTGTCCCTCCCTATCCTATAATTGTATCTAGCTGCCAGAGCTAGTTCGCGCTTAGTTCACTACACTCATTCGTATTATTCAGGATGATATTTTTTTTAATCGAATGTATGAAGACCAAGATGGTGTGGCCTTTTGTATGGTCGCAGTCTGCTTTCGTTGTATATAAATTGTTTGACCTTGTTTTCGCAAATTGGACAGATTAGCAGGATGACCAAGATGAAAGCATCTAGTCCGGAGTCCATAGTACGCATGATAATTTTCAGAGTCGGATGGTGAATGTGGTACATTCCCATATGTTTCGCCGGCATCGTAGTCAGGATCATCAATGAAACTTGCTATTCTCACCAAACCAAGCTACAACTCGTCAAGGAGGCAAGTGAAGTTAATCCCTCGACTAACTTTCTCGAGAAATGGTTATGCTATCACTCTTCGTTTTGTCCTGGTTCTTCGCCCTCGTTCTATCATAACTTCTCACATGTTTATATTCCTCAGGAGATGTGCCCTGTTGGCGAATTTACCGTGACGCCATCTCACCTCCTGCTT